GTTTTGGGGCAAAGGCATGCGACAAGCTATTGCAGGGAGATGGTCAGAAGACCGCAGTGGGGCCTTGCGTCCGCTCTAAAAATTTCTATAATAACCCACTAGATAGGCGCTTCAACATATCCTATCCATAAGTAATGTTGATGTAATATAAGTAATCCGTGAAAGTTGCCGAAGTGTCCAACTTTAGCTACATACCACCCAATCTACTCACTAATATATCTGCTATCTGACCTGGCCACTGCCTCCGTTGCTTTCCTGACTGAGCAGCTGGGTGACAATACTTGGTTTCTGACGTCTACAGTTCCACTGATCAGGTCACAACGAGCACCTTACATATCAAATGACATGAGATACATACCGTTGGATGGATGTCCGGGAACAATGAAATAGTCTCCTAGTTGACGAACGAATTTATAGTTTATTTGATTCTATCTTGCGTCACATTCAACAAGCAAATTCCATCCTTCCGAATGCCTCTTCATTTCCCAACATTCAGCTAGTACTTTGTCTCTTTCCGCACAAGCGGCTTCAGTCCAGGCAGTGCGACAACGATGATGGAGAGTGCCATCTCTACCATGCTCAAAGGATCTACGAAAAGAACACGGGTTAGTAAATCTGCTGGACATCAAATACGCAGATTCAGAAAAGTCTGTACTTACAAACGAGATTCTCCTGTCCAGTACCAACTTTGAGGCAGACGAAACGCACGATACCCGACGCAATAGTCAGAGCACCCAAGGCGAAAGTAAGAACAACACCCGTCGAGGACCTTAGCACTCCCTTGGCCAAAAGGACAACAGGGACAGCATAAACAACAAGGTAACACGCCAGGTTGAGCGTGAAGTTGAGGATGAAAGGCTCTGGCGCATAGAAGACAGAGCAGGCACCCTCCTCTTGAGACCATTGTTCAGAGACAGGGACACCGCAGAAGAAGGTGTCGTCAAAGAGGATCGTGACATAGCACGCGACCACGAATGCAGTAATAGCGAAAAGCATCTTGCGCAGTCCAGGATGACCAGCCAGATTGAAGAAGGCCCAGTAAAACGCGAGCATGCTCAATTTGGGGAACCCCATGCCGACATCGTAGAAGTAGTTGGAGGCAAACGAGATCTAGCGGGGAAATCAGCAGTTATTCATGCAACCGAGTCGTTGCGACAATGGATGGAACTGACCTTTGATAGTTTCTCAGATGTCTCGTAGACGTCCATGACGCCCATGCGGTATGTGAGCGTGTCACAGATGATCAGGCCCAGGGCTACCAGCGCCGACGCAACAAGTAGATAGTCGGACATGTCGAGACGCGAATGTAACCGGACCAAACGCGTATAGATGCGTAGAGCAACGAAGATGTAAGCGAAGATCAACAGGATCCATTCTGAGACCTAACAAAAACGAGTTCATCCGTCAGCCCATGCAGAACATGTAGTCAAGTATCGTGACTTTGGGAGAGAAATTTCTTTACCATGCAATCTTGCCCGGTAATGCGGTATGCCATTGTTGCTCGCGGGCGTGGTGTGACGAATATCGCGTCACGACGGTGAATAGGTTAAAGGCCCAATGAAGAAACAAAGGAAGACGGTTCGCTCGCTTCGGAGGCTGTGAACAAACAAAACCTTCTACATGGCATTTGTATATAAGGCACGCACATTAGCAATATCTGCAGGGTGGGTTGTGGGGGGGGGGAAAGATAGATTGCGCCAGCGCACGTCTCGCAACGACAAGACCTTGGGCCGTATGTTGGATGGGGGGAGGGGGCGATTGCACCACCTATCACGAGAGATTGCAGGCCGGATATTAGTCCTCAATAGCGTTGAAGGAATGATGGACACGTCCATTGCATGCACGCGCGCGGAAGGGGGCTCTGTGAATGGGAGGCGGTTTTGAAGCCGCGAAGGAATGGGCCGGTCCCAACAGCAGCCCATGTCTGGCTCGTCGGCTGAACCGTTGGCCTGGGTTTTGAACTACTACCTAGACTGAAGGCAGGAATAGCTTGGGGCCGTGTGGACCGCTTTTAATCCATGGTGTTTTTCCAGGCATTGTCTTGGACGGTACAGGTTGTCGAGTGGTTACAAGGCATGGATGTACAGATACATCAGCGTCGGTCCCAGTCATTTGTGCAGGTACGTGTAAGTAAAGGCTTGGGCCTTTGCTCTTGGTCGTGATTTGGCATGAAACCGGTGGCTTAATTTGCCAGACAAAGTGCAATATAAGCGAAGCATTCTGCCAACGTTGATCCACCCCACAGCATGCTTGCGGCACGGTTCGAAGCCAAGGTGAATGAAGATGTCTGGAAAGGTGGAGCCAGCGGCGCTCAGGGCTCGCTTGGAGCAGCTCCCCGAGAGGCGCGGGCGCTCGGCCGCCAACGCGGACCGCCATGTGAACATGGATTAAGAGCGCCATGACGACCAGAGCATGTCAATGGCTACGCGCTTACCAAGGCCGGATCCTGAATTCTCATGGCTAGTAATTATTAATAAGGAAAATCTACTGAGCCTGCTGTACTGTACTACATTCATGGACCCTGTCTCGATCCTTCAGTCTCATACCACCTCGGTCGGCCCCCGTACTGGCTGGAAATCCTGTCGGGCGGCCAGATCCGGGACACTTCTCATGGCAATTTTCCAACAGGTTCGCTGTCTTCATCCTGCGACCGCGAAAACTGCACACTAACCCGCCGCGTCTCGTAAATGACATCCTTCCTTCCAAGACTATTCAGCTCCACCTCGCTTCCAGACTCCTCGTCGCTGTGTATGCGAACGGTGTGTTTTCCCCTTCTGGAAGGACGCATAAAACCCTGCGAGCCGCTGGCAGGCGTCCGTTGGCCGTAGGTCGTGCGGGAATCCGATGTGCGTGATTTTTTGTGGAAGGAAAAGAAGCCACCGCGCCGGAGGAATGATCTCATGGATGGTAGCGATACTACGATGATGGCGATTGCCAATTCAGCCATTGAAAGTACGACTGCAGACATGTCAGTGCTTGTGACCTTTCTACGGCTCTGCTGCATCCAGAATATGACGACATACAAACGTTGGTCCAGGCATAAATGATCTCTATTGTCACAAATCGAACGACACTCATTGATATGGTGACTGCTCCGAGGCAAAATGTGACGATGAGGCCCCATATCTGACGGCGTTGGAGTTGCAATGAGTGAAGAAGTGGGAACGGCAATCCGAAAACTGTCTCTTGGTCAGATCTTGGCTGAGAAAACAGTGAGTGATTCAAGAGCATACTCAACACGTCGGACACGATATTCATGCTCCAGTCAATCCTGAAGACTGCTTTTGAAGTGAAGGTGTTGCACGCACCCTCTTCTAGAGACCAGTTCACTGACACTTCAGAACCGCACCAGAAGGTATCTAGAAAGAACGTCGTGATCATGGCGCTTCCTGTGAACACCGCCACTGCATAGAGCGCTTTTCGCAGCCATGGCATTGTCGGCGGGATTAAACGAAAGTATAGTGCGAGGATGGCTAGTTTTGGCCAGTAGATTCCAGTATCATAGAAAGCATTACCAGCAAATTGTACCTGTTGGAAAGGTCGTCAGTTCATCAGTACCCCATGAGCTGCCAGACTAGACTCCCTACTTTCTTGAGGGCAATGGCGCGAGCATCTGACATTTCCACTTCGTCCTCCGCCATACCACCCCATTCGTATGTCAAGACATCGGTTGCGAAGAGCCCAATGGCGTCGAGTATTGATGCAACCAGAAACCAATCGCTCAAGGTAAGATGTTGCCGCTGCACGAGTCGTGGAATAAGACGACCAGACGCTACGAGTGTGGAGAGACCTAATAACATGGCCTCAATGGGCTTTACACATGAGCGTTAGAAGAGATCACACCTTACCACCACCTTTTTGGCATTACCATAATGGAACACTCACAACAACAGCTTCTGAAGCAACTCCACCCGCCATAGTGACAAGCTGCAGTCTTGGATTCCAAGACTCAACGAAAAACAAAAGACTCGTGATGAAAATCTAGCCGCTCATCCAGGCGCTTTACGTTTCTTTTCATTATATTCACTGCACATGAAAAAAAAACCGACCGTATGGTACAACCAGATTGTGCCAGCCGGCCCCGAAATGGCCCGCTGCCTCCTGGGCGCCTGTGCCTGGCTCATGCAATGGCAGTGTAGGTCTCATCTTACGCAAACCACATTGATCGGAAATCATGCGCCAGTCGCAGCCTAGCTCTGTGTTGTATGCAGACGCGGGGGTTTGTCCATCCAATAGGGTATTGAGAGGCTATATGAGGAATGCAGGGATTGGTTCTAGAGGCTGGATGGAACGAGGTTCTGCGGCACAATGCGGTCTCATGTACCCATGGAAGAAGTTTGCCGCTGGATATTTCTACGTGTTAGGCCCTCTGCTGTGGAGGAGCGCATGTCGTCTAAGCGGGACGAAGCCAATCCCGCTCGGCGTTACCTATGTGGCTTAATGCTGTGCGACGCCATTTCTGCAGAGGCGAAATCATCTTACGTATTGAACCTTTTCGTGCCGAGATGCTACATATAGGTACAGCCGTGTGTGTATAGAAAGAGGTGGCCGCGAAATGAGCACAACAATGGAGTAATGTTGAGTGTGTGCTCGGGCCAGACGCTGAACACACTGTGGCTTGGTTAGATATAACCCCCTAGTACGGCAGAAATACCCACTGGAGACGGATGTTTCGAGCAGTTCTCTTTATTCCACCAATTCCAGGTGTACTAAGAGTCCCTAATGATGGTAAGGGCGATGTGATGCAAGGGCCAAGGACGGATTGGCTGTAAAGAGACGGGATCACAACCAAAAGACCAAAGTAACCGAGTTTCATACCCTCGAGGTATCTGCGACACCTTGCGCCCACATGTTCGCACCCTCGGCTTGATGGAGAAAATTCGATGGCGCAATCGTACATAGGCCACGATCTGCGTTGGAAAGAAAGAAAGGGGAGAGCTGAGGAATGACGTAAGTAATGCCAGACCCTGACAGCCCTCTTTCTCCACCGAGCCCACGACACCCGCCAACCACCATCCACCACGCATCGACTTGTGCAAATCCTATCGCAAACAAGCAACGGCACAGTCCAGGATCTGGGTAGTGGCCGTTATCAGTGAGGCCAAGCCCTGCAGCGCCATGTGGGAATGCACTAGGAACCGGTTTTGCGTACCTGCGCAAGGCCTGGTAGACTAGTGACGGCATAAGGCGTCTAGAGAGATGGTGAAGAGCGGTACATTTACGACATGGATAAATCACCGCGATGAACGCCCCTTGAAACCCCGCACATTGTGCACCGTGTGTCCACTGGCGATCTGTGGCCATGCTCAACATCAGTCATTGTCGAAAAGACGATCAATACGGTCTTCATCGAAGCCAACAAAGCGATACAGCCATGCCATCCTCCGTATCAGAGTCAGCGGCCAACTACTCGACGCCCAGCAGCAACAAGGAGAGGGGAAGAAATGATAGCGGTTTGGCGGCGTCCCATGTTCCCACCAAACCACCACCAAGTCGCACGCCTTCAACACGCATAGCCCACCCAGCGCGACCACGACGCCAACATGGACAAACTGCAGACTCGGTACCAACCAATACACGCCCTCAAAGGCCGGGCCTTGAGCGCCGCCGCACCACAGCACGCACACGCTACATGGACATGCTCCTCGGCCTCGACTCCGTCTCCCCACTGCACAACCTGCTGTGTTCAGGGTTCGTCTGGCTCCTACTAGCCGGCTACATTGTCTTTCCCGCGACCTTTACCAAACTCCAACGCACCGAATCGAAGCCCGGGGACAATGGCTTCAGTGCTGCGGCTCTGAAAACCGTGCGCAACATTCCTCTGCTGTACGTCGCGGCCTTTGCATGTGGCATTGGCGTTGTGGGCTGTTTGTGGCTGTGGTGGCAACATCGCAAGAACTACGTGTGGGTGATTCATAGGATTTTCCTGCCCGCACTGCTGAATAGCATTGCCGGCCTCATCTCGACGATTGTGAATGTGTATTCGGCGCAGGACGGGCAGTACAGTGTTACTGCTCGTGTGACGATTGTGGTCACGGCAGCATGCAGTGTCATTGCTGCTGCACTATTCTTGATCTACAACACCATCATGCTGGGCATTGTGCGGAGGAGACACGAAAGGGAAATTGCGGCTGTTGAGAAGGAGCAGGCAAGACGAGACGCCAGTCATGAAGAGGCAGTTTGAAAATTGCCGTTTTTTTTTGTGTCTTCTTTTTTCTTTGTTTTCTTCTTTCACTACAAGATCCAGCAGCAGTGCTAAACGTTATTCCAACCCCCCATCTTATCCTTGATGAAAAAAAAAAACCCCTCCCCTCTCCCAAAACTCCATATTCCCATACAACAATGAAATGGAATGATAAATGAAAAAAAAAATCTAACGTCTTTGCCACAGCAGTCCAAACCACGCCCATCTACAACTCATCCCTCGCCTCCCTCGCCTTCACCACCATGGCCTCAACCGTAAACCTAACCTCCTTGTCCCCCAAACTCTCATGCCTAACCTTGCCAACGACCTTGCCATGGCCAAGCTCATTACTATACCTCTCGAGCCCCTCAAACACGCCCTCGCACTCGCTCCCCTGGTCGTCGTCTGCATCCTCGACCCAAAGCGGAAGCAAAGGATAAATGGCACCGGGCGCAAAAAACACCAAGTCATCCTGCACGCTAAAGTGACGCTGCAGAGTCTCTTTCTTGAGCCATTCGCGCACTTTGTAAGGCACGTCGGTCATGTGCATGGCGATGAGCTCGCGGCCCACGCCGTGCACGTCGATGCCGTCCCAGGAGCCGGCGTAGAGTTGCTTGTTGTAGAAGACTTTGAGTTGAGGGGCTTGCTCGGCCAGGTCGGGGTAGAGTTGGTTGAGTTTGTAGATTTTAGCAGTGTAGCTCGACGAGGAGCGGCAGTGCTGCGTGTACGGCGCGAGCGTCGTGTCGTTCCATGTTGCCGTCCACAGGGCGCCGACGGGGGTGGGCTCGTCGGCGGGTGGGGTCGAGGACGAGGACGACGAGTCTGACGAGGCGGAGGTGGTGGTGGCGCAGAGGAGGACGAGGGGGGAGACGAGGGGAAGGAGGAAACGCATAATTTCTCTCTTTAATATCTCTCTTTTGATAGTATGTTTTCTAGGCTGGAGCTGTGTCTTCTTCTGCTTGTGCTTTTCTGCGAGGAAACAAGGTGTATAAAACCCTCCACGCCAAAACGATAAACCGGCTTCAGCGAAATCAAACTCTAAAAAAGAACGTTTAGATTCGACTCGACTCTGCGGTCAAGAAAGAGAAGATGATGGTGAACTTTGGTTACTTTCTCCAGAGAAGGAATAGAGAAAGAGAGAGAGAGAAACAAAACTCTCCAAACACGCGCCATCTTATACGAATAAGGGGATGCTATACATATTGCAAGTTAATGCCATTCTGTCCTCTTCTCGCACCATAATTAAGACCGAACAAAAAAAAGGTGTCCCCATGACGTTTCGCGATTCCGCCTCACCATCCCGCTTTCCATATTAACCGGCAAGGATGCACGCCGACGCGATCACCAACGCGGTAGATTAAAAGAACACGGTAGACCAAGAAAACATGGCATGCCACGGTTTTCTCGGTACTTGCTTGGCCGAGGCCTGTTGCGCACGTGTCTTGTGGACATTGTGTGGTTCCGGGTTATTAGCTGTACGTATTTGGGACGGGGTGCTACAGTACTAAGTAGTATGCTGTGGGGAGCTTTTGCGGGGAGGAGAGAGGCATGTGCGAGCGGCGGGGTGTTTGTTGCATGACAGGCTAGAGCGGATTTGTCCGGCCTCATATACTACATACGCCAGTCATAGCAGGGTTTCGCTGGTCTGCATTTTGAAAAGTATTATTGAGGAAATGCAATAGGTATATGTAGTTGTATTATTGCAATGTGTTATTCTTTTCTTTGCGCAGGGGAGATAGTCTATGAACAATGGATGTACGTACGTGCGGTACAGCAGAAACTATAATCATTGCAAAACCCATGCAAAAGTCGATGATTGTAAATGCCTGGGAGAAAACTATGCATCAGCGGACGTAAGTACTCGCTTTAGGCATACTTGAAACCTGTCCATGCCGCTCGCCAGCTTATAAACTCCTCTTAACATGCCAGTAGTATCGAAATTCATTCATCATCAACACGTGAAAAAAAAAGACACAACTCCATCTCCAAAACACCCACCTACGACTCCCCACCGTTCTCCACGGCCTGTCTCCTCTTGTCTGCCAACTCTCTTCTCTTCCTCTGCTCACTTTCCGCATGCGAAATCGCCATGACCATATTAAACGCAAACGTGCCGACGAAAATCACAACCACAAACGCCAGGATAACAAGCACACTGACCATGCTGAAGACGACAAACACGAATGTCGCTTGCACAAATGCTTGATCGCTTTCGAGAGAGACGGGCGACGTTGAAGGAAGCGAGAAACTGACTTGCATGGCCGACAGCACGACGGAGAAGAAAACGAAGACGATAAGGACCCAGGAGAATTTCCGCTGGAAGAAGATGACGTAGCGATTGTATCCCCATCTGTCCAACACAACCAAAGTCAGCATATCCCCTTCTTTCTCAAAGACTTGGATAAAGAGAGAGCCAAAAAAAGAGGATAGTGACGTACAGATAGCCCCTCACAAAATGCGTATGCGCATATCTAACCCGATATATGGTATTGATCCTGCCCAGCCTCAAATCGCCAAACTGATACCTCTTGTTAACCTGATGCAGGGTATCGATATCCACATGGGTGATGAAATCGGCGACAAAGCTCTTCCACCAGTGCCATGTTACAAACGACGGAAGCAGCGAATTGTCATGGGCCATCTTGAGGTCCAAAGGGGTGGTAAGGAGCCAGACGTAGCTAACGAGGAAGCCGGCTGCGCTTCTCCAGAGCCAGCCTGGTTCGCGTTTGCCGTCGGCATCGTCGTGGTTGCAGATGCAGTCGGTCCAGAATTGGTGGCAGAGGATCCATTCGGGAAGGGGCTTGATGAGCAGTTTGGAACTGAATTTGAGGAGGTGCAGGTCCATTTGTTGGGTTTGGATGACTTGCATGCCGAGCATGGTGTAGCGGTGCAGAGGACGGGCGCGCATGGGACGGCCGGCCATCCAGAGGTGGCCGTGGATGCGGTTCAAACGAGCGAGGTCGAGGTCAAAGGCGAGGAAAGCTGGGATTTCATACTCGGGTCTGATAATGTGGTCGCTTTTGCCGGTTATGGTAGGGAGGGAGTCAAGAGCCGACAAGGGCTGGCTGGTGCATGGTTGAAGAAAATGCTGTGTGCTGCTGGGAGAAATGCTTGCACTCTGGTTCAGAATCCCGGCTGTTGACTGGGTACTATCCGCATCCGTGTTGGAGTATGGTGGAATAGGTTGCGGAGAGAAGGGAGGCTTGAGCATGTAGCTCTCGTGCTTTCTCTGAACCGGCGTCTTTTCAGCCATAGTGGTATTTCCCTTGAGCGAGAACCAGGGGCAAATCAGAAAGGGCGCTCAGCCATATATATGTTTGTGGCAGGTTGCGGGTGTGGCAGTGTCACGATGCTCTTACACGTGCAAGCGTACCAGGCACACGACGACATGGGAGAGCGGGAGCTAAGGGATACTATGCAGGCTGGGCGGGGGGGCAAAAAGCGCCTGGGGCGGAGTCTTGGTGGCACAGTCGATGCAACTACTGCGCATATCGCAACGTGTGATTGGATAAGCCACCTCGTGGAGGAGGCTGGTGACCTTTGCATGGAGATGGTGTGAGCTCTGACAAGGTCTCAATTCTGTTGAAACTTCAAATAATAGTAATAATGATAATGATAATAATTCAGCCTCAAGAGTGACCAAGGCCGCATAGAGATACCAACGCCTCCGTCTAATGCAGTTTTGGATATTAGTCTTTTAGCCCCCATTTTGTCCCGCATTCATATGTCATGTCTCTGTCGCAAACCCACACTTATTTGCAGTAGTTTGCAGGGAAGCTGCCCTTTTGCCCATGAACCTCGCCCTCCCACCAGTCCTGTGAGCTCTGCGTCTTCTTGATGACTCTGATTCGGTCACCTTCCTTGAATGACAAATCACCGGGCGTGAGGCTGTCAAAGTCGTACATGGCCGTCACATACTCGGACTGGAAAGAGCCTATCTTCTTTGGCGGCGGTGGCGGCGGCGGCTTCTTCTTTCCGGCCGCAGGATTGGGCGAGGTTGGGTATCCGCCTGGGGTTGAGCCATTCGAAGCGGCTGATGGAATCTTGTTGAAGTAACCATCGCCATTAGTGCCATTCGAATACGACGACGCCTGTGATGTGGATGACAGGCGTCGGCCGTACATGTCTCCGCCAGCGCTCAGATGAGGCGAGCCAGAGATTTTGGGTTTTGTAGCACTGAGCGAACTGTATGAGGGTTTGTTGGCTAGGCTGATGGGGGGAGGAGCGCCTTCCGATGTTGAAGACAGGGAAGGTGGGGGCCGCGCCGGTCTCCCAGCGCTGCTGATGGTAGGTACGCTGTCATTGCTACTGGCTCTCCGGCTGGGCAGCACCTTGTTCCTTATTCCCAGCCCGGTCACAGTGTCTCCCTTGTCTGGCAATCGCATAGGCATGTGAACCGCTTTGCCTGACTTGAGCAAGCCAAGGTTTGTCTCCATGTCTGTGCGCAGTGGTGTGAAGCTTGCGTCCCATATTGGTACCACCTCTTCGGGCTCGGGCGGGGGATCCGGGTAGCCTTGCTCGTTGGAGTATTGGTGTAGTACGGTGTACAAGTTTCCGATCAGGTTGTTTTGCAACACAATCTGGTTGGCGAGGAGGTGGGGCAGGATGGAAAAGGTGGCAGCGTTGAGGCGCGGGAGACGCTCACGGAGATTCTCGTCAGCGAGGTGGTAGGCATGGGTAGAGCGCTCGAGGTCGACTTCGTGCTTAGCAAGCGCACTGTTCTCACGCTCCGAGCGAGTCTTTTTGTTCTGCAGGTTTTCGCAGCGGCCCTTGTAGCGTTCGTAATCAACCTGGGCAAAGAATGAGTGTGACGAGGGACGAGCTGGTGCAAAACATGGCGAACCTTTGCGTCGTCGCGCTTCTTGATGGCCTTCTCCATGGGCTTCAAGGCATCACGGGCAAGCTTGGCAGGCACGACAAGTTTCCTGTCAATGTCCTTGACCTCTTCCATCATGTCCGCCTTGAGTTCGGAGAAGGCTTCATGGAGGCCGTGGACGCGCTCCAAGACCTCAGCCGGGGTTTCGACATGGACGTGTGTGGTGGAGCCGCCTTCGCCGCCGAGAGGCTTGAAGATGGTGTAGATCTGCTCGACTGAGGACAGCTGGTGGTTGAGAATGTTTGTCCAGGCGTCTCTCCATTGCTTTGCGGAGGCTTCGAGCTAGTGGGGAGTTGTCAGTCGGCTAGGACGTAGGCGAGAGCAGACAGCAGACGGCAGACGGTGGCAACATGGCGTTGTCTGTCGCCGGGCAAGGACAAAGCCAAAGCCAGGGAGGGCGTGTCTCGCGACGACGACCCCACATGTGCAAAGCAGGCCATGGCTTGAGGCGACACGCCACAATGGAACGCACCTTTTCCAACATGACCTTGGAGTCTTCAAAGTCCTTGAGCATGGCCTCGACGTCGGCCTCATTGGGCGTGCGCGTCAGGAAACGGCCCGTGATTCTCTGCATGCGCTGCATCTTGGAGGGGCGGGGGGCAGGCAATTGCAGGCGAGGATACTGGGCAGAGAGAGAGAGCAATGCAATACAATGCGAATGCTGCAGGCGGCAGACAATGGCGTTGAGCAATGGGCGATGGGCAACGGGCGGGTAGAGTGGCTAGCGGTGGCTGTGCCCTCGAGGCGGCGGGTTGGGCATGGATGGATGGAGGGAGGAGAGGGAGAGCACAGGCACAGGCACAGGCACAGGCACATGCGCTGCTTGCATGCCCTCAGCTCGTCAGCCCAGTCAGCGCCAGGCCGCGCAGACGTGGCATGCCTGCAAGTGGAGAAGGCCTGGGTTTGGCACGGCTCCTGGCCCATCGCCGCCTGTCTCGGCGGTGAATGTACTTGGATGCTGACGGCCATTCGGTGCGTGGCTGCTCTCAGCCGGCACAGCAAGCCGCGCGGGCACTCACGTGATGGCGCGATCGGAAACGCGTTCCATGCCGCCGCCGCCTCCTTCACGCTGCCCACCAGCCCCGCGCCTGCCTCCATGCCATGACGGCCCCTCTGCCCAACACCCACCACGCCTCCGCCGTTGCTGCCATCCACGCCTCCCAGAGCACCGCGCCCGTCGCCGAGTTCCGCTGTCTCTTCACCCACGACGTCCGCCGCAAGCAGAAGCGCTGGCACGATGGCTTCCTCAAGTTCCACACCTTCAACAACCGCGTCATGGTCTACGACCAGGCCCGCAACTTCCTCGGCGACACCTACTACAAGGACAGCGACGAGCTGCACGAGGGCGACGAGCTGAACCTGAACAACGGCGCTCTTGTCGAGGTCTCGGAGCCCGTGGCCATCACCCACACGGATCTGGCCTCTGTGCTGGGCAGGAAGGCCAGGGACCTGCCCCCCGTTGCAAACCCGCCTTCCCAGACAAGGCCCTACCAACGCCCATCGTCAGCCGCCCCACCAAACGCGCACAAGGCTGCCTCGCAGCTGCGCCACAAATCCCTCAATACCCTGCTCGGGACGCCAAAGGGGCCCATTGGCAAGGCACAGCCCATAAAGTCACCATACGAGGCTCGCAAGGAAAAGGAAAACGAAAACGAGTTGGCTGGGGAGAGGGCTGCAAAGAGGCAGAAGACAAGCAAGGTGCTTGCAAGCTGGAAAGCATCTAGTCCAGCACAGCAAGAGAGTGTTGAGCCGAGAGAAACATCGCCGGTACCGACAAAGGCTGTAGCCGCACGCAAAACCCGACAGCCAGCCAAATTCATTCCCCCTACGGCTACCGTCATCACAATAGAGGACGAGCCCGAGCCCGAGCCTCACCCGGCCATCTTCTCTGACATCACACTTCCCGGTACACCACCTCGAGTCACCGACAAGAGGGAAGAGTCTCGCGTTGCCAAGACAGCTGTGCCTCGTCAGCCCCATGCACAAACCCCAAAGATCCCAAAAGGCAAAGTGCCGGTGCCTGGTGTGCGGGCTCTGGAGACTCCTAGGCAGCCAGCTCCACCTTCCTCGCCTCCCGTGAGCGCCTCAAATCGCTTGTCCAACATCGAGTTTGCATTGCAACCAGCTCAAGTACCGCGTAAAGAACCGTCCCCACCGCCAGCACCCTCCTCGCCTCCGGCTCGCAAGGCCCGATGCCTTCGACTGTCCACTGGAGTAAAGCGTGGGAAGTTGTTGTGCCAAGCTCTACCACCAGAAAGTGCAAAGGCCGATAGGGGATCTAGAGTAGCTGCCACTAAAGCCAGGCGGACAGCCTCTCGTCCAGTAGATGAGCAGCCATTACCTGTCACCGCACAGGGAGACGAGGATTCCGTCTCCGCCAAGAGACCGCCAAAGAGCAAGCGAAGTCTGGCAAATGCGGATCACGGCGCAGCAAAGAGAGCAAGAGTCTCCAAGTCTCCATCCCTTCCGTCGCCCAGTCTCCAGGAAGATCCAGAAGTTATCCACGGCCTTATGGATCAGCAGTTGTTAGTCACTTCATCGCCCATACACCCTGATTCAGCATCTTCATATGCCGTCGATAGTGTCTCGAAATCCAAACATGCTGCTGAGGAACCAGTCAGCAAGATGACCATTCAGACAAACATAACTGAGCCCATAGCTAATATATCAAAAACATCATCCATTAATGAGACTGAAAAAAGACCTACGAAAAAAGCAGAAAAACCCAAGGCGGCACCAAAGGCCCCGTCTCCTGTAACGCTGGAACCAGCGACACTGGCATCGAGAGATGTGCCTCCAGCACATGCCGAAGTTTCCGACGCACAATCACGGGCCCCAGCAACATCTTCTCGCAAAGCACCGCTCTCCACAGGCGGCATACTTAAGAAGACCGTCACTCGTACCAAAAAGCAACCGGCCTTGATAGATCCCCAGCAAAATGCCCCACCACCTCCACCTCATAGTGAACTCGTGTCGCTCTCACCGCGCCCCTCAAGAACCAACAAAAAAGGGCCCTTGATGAGTACCACTGAACTCGCCGGGCTCCTCCAAAAGCCCAAGAACCTTGCCAAAGCCCTTGCGGATCCTATTGAGGACGAAGAGGAAACCAAACAGGTAGGCGGATCGCCGAACCGTGCCTTCCGACGCGTTCAAAGTGAGAATGATGTACCAATTCCCAGTATCTCGGAAGAATGGGAAAGGCTCAATTTGCCCAAGCCTGGTACCTCCACTACAGAAACTGCCAACAAGCCAACAATGGCGATTACAGTTGACGTGGAGAAGAAAAAGAAAAAAGATAGCGCGCTAGGCGCGCTTATCAAGAAAACGGATCCCCGGCGCAAGTTCAAAAGAACGCAGAGTTTGCAAGTGGATACAAATGTGCCGTCGCCAGCTGCTGAGGAAGAAGTCGAGTTACCGAGCCCTGTTGTGGATTTGGACGTTGGACCCTGGAGCACAGAAGCGGGCGATCTTTTTGACTGGAGGCCGCCGGGGAGGCACTGAGGACTTGACATGAGGATACGTAATTACGATTGTATGATGTTGGTATATCCTTGGCCAAAAAAAATCAACTTTATCTTGACACGGCAACGGTCGTTACCGAAGCCATCTTTCCGCACAGAACAGATTTGATGATATGTGATGTACCACATTAGCACCATGCCCGCATGTGAGAGTGGAAAACCCAGCATGAAAAGTTTGCCTTGTAGCTGTGTTCATCCTTGGTGTGCTGACTAGCATCACCGGAGCCAAGTGGTCGTCTTCAATATTCCACGGTGCTGACATAGAATCTCAAATGGCTTTCACACATTTCACACAATCACAATACTTTGTCTTTGTTTGACTTGCGACAAAGTCGTGGTAAACATGACACCAAATCCGGCCCTTCGTGATACAAAGACTTGTATGAATGCACTGAACAAAGACCCAAACCGCCACTTGTATCTTTAACAACCACGACTTGACTATCGATTTGAATCATCTCATACCGTCTGCTTTAGCAAAACACAGCTTTCTATACGCTACCATGGCTGTAAACATTGAAGCGCAATATGCTGCACAGAGAATTGATTTTGCCACACTAGAACAGATTTACATACCTAGAACACTGGAAGTAGGCTGGATCCACTCTATCCAGAAAGAAGGAGGTCATGGTGAAGATTTTCGCCTGTTTGTCATCGGTCACAAGCTCAAGCATTGGCAGCGAACAAGAAGTAAGTCCAATCTCGCACTTAACCAAACACACCGCTTACACACATACTTAGCTATACCCTCGGAAAAGAAAGTCGTTCACGCATGGGGAAATACCGACGCCATCAGCCGAGAACCGTTTATTGTGATCGCAGAAAGCGAGCCAGATCCACGTTTGCACAGGGAAAATTTCGAAAATCATGCGGCTCTGCTCACATTTGCCGACAAACATGTCCGTCAGGAGGAGCACAATGACTTCAGAGCTTTTGTATATGGATGCCGAGTCACAGACATACGATTGCGAGCCGGTATATTCTAACCATCCCCAACTTAGGCCATTCCAACAAGAGCGCTGACCTGAAGGGAAAAAAAAACAGAATCACAGGCCCAAACCCTCATCAACAGATGGAAGGATAGGACCCCCGCTGAGCACACGCACTACATAAGCCGCGGAAGACAATTCTACGAAAGACACATGGTTCAGTTCCCACACCTCCGTCCCGCAGGCTGCCCCGGCGACCATTTGTACGTCAAGGACCCAACCCCAGAAGCCACAATGTCAGACATTGCCTTTGTAAACCTCCACGACGCACGACCAACCAACGAGCCCAAAAAGCCCGCAGGCTCGCGCTGGGTCTTTGAACGAACGCTCATGCAAGTCCCAGAGGCGACATTCGGCGACTACCAGACTCAGCGCATTGTGCATTTGTTTGCGCTCGTGTCTGCAGATCATCTCATCTTAAAGGTAAATACGATACACACATGCTGTATGTGAAAGAGAGAAGAAGAAGAAGAAAACAAGGACTGACAACAAACAACAGCGAATGGTGGTCAAAATAATCGGCTCCCTCACAACCCGCCAGGTAGAGAAATGTCTCAACCGCGAATACGACAATGCGCATAAGAAGCTCTCCAATATATCTTGCGCACATATCTTGAAAGCGTACGGATCGGCTATTCGTCGGAGAGCGAGTGCACCGCAGCTCGGCTACATCTTCATGGAGTATGCTGAGCATGGGGATTTGGGGGATTATCTGGCGAAGCATGCGCTTGAGAATCCTGGGTGAGTTTGCTAATTTTCCTTGCTACTTTAGCTGTGGAAAATGTTGATTGAAATCGTGCTAAATCTTCAAACAGCAAACAACTCGCCGAGCCGTTCCTATGGCTCGTGTTCCGCGCAATGGTGGAAGCCGTGTTCGTCATGGCGCTGGGGAGACGGGTGCCCAAGCACCTTCCGTTGGATAGTTACGGGAAGGGATTGAATCTTGAGCCTGTTGAAGGGTGGAAGCCTATTATAAGTAAGTACTGCCCCTCATTTAAACTCCTCCAATATGCGAAGACACCACACTAATCTCGTAATCGTCGCTACTGCTAGACCCAGACATCAAGACCTACAACATTGTCCTAGCAGCGCCGCAGCCGGACTACTACCCCGCCTATCCGACCCCCAAAATGATTGATTTCGGTCTCTGTTTCGACGACGGCTACTTTGACGATCCGAAGCGCAAAGAGCTCGGTGTAGGTACGGTGGGATATGGTCCACCAGTAAGTTTCCCCCATGCTTTCCAACTAAACAGAACCCCCTCCGACCTCGTTTTCCCCCAGCCTCTCAGTCAGTCTTAGTAAAAAGTCCAACCCCCATCACTAACACGCACTCTAAGGAACACGACTCCAAAAACTTCCCAGACTACCGCAACGCCCCCGTCGACATAGCCTCTGAAATCTTCAACGTCGGCCTCACCATGCTTAACATGATGGAACCCTGGGTCTCGCGCGGCATGACCAGCACCGAGCAGTCGCAGCTCGGCTTCGAGCACCACGGAAACTACTCGTACAGCTACAGCAGCCGCCTCGAAGAACTCGTGTTCCGGTGTTTGGAGTTCCCGCGGCGCAAGCGGCCGTCGCTCACCGAGGTGCTGTATTTCACGCGCGTGGGTCTGAGGGAGTGGGAGGCCGCGTATGGGAGTGTTAATAAGGCGAAGGAGAATTTGCTGGGTTTTGCGAGGGTGGAGGTGGATGGAGAGGAGGAGTTTTGCGTGGGGAGGGTGGCGCCGAGGAGGTGGAAGGGGATGAGGGAGAGGAGGGAAAGGGTGACGGGGCAGGCGTGTGGGTTGATGAGGAAGGCGGAAGAGGCGGGGTTTGTCGGCAATGAGCGGGAGGCGAGGAGACTGCGGTTTGGCTTGTCAAGGGGCTCTCCTTAGTCTCGGGCCAGATGAACATGTTTGAATGCTTGCTGCTACTAATTGTACTTTAGAGTTGTAGTGACAAGGCTAGTAGAGACCACACTAGTAGCCCGGTCATTGAGTTCATGTCGCATGTGACATCCTAGAAGAACGTTTGTTTGGTAGCGAATGTCAGTTTAGAGTTTTTTTTTTTTTTTAAATTTCTTGGTTGCGGAGCACGGGACGGGACGCCTATTGCTTGTTATTGACAGATGCCCGTTACTACTCGGGATATATGAAAGCGGACATATAGATCAAATCGATAAAAAAGTCTCCACAGATGATGCATGGACCCCCTACCTCAAAAGTAAGATAAGCGAGCGGCTCTTTTTTTTTAAGACAGGGAATAGTTTGGTATACATTGAATTGTGTAAGAAAAGTCTAACTATAACATTCTTGAAATATGCAAAAGTGTTTGAATAATTTGTAAGATTAAGGTATATTAACTACATAGTAAGGAAGGGGGGTATGAATTTTGACAACAACGACCATCTTTTTTTTTCATCTAAGCCTTGGAGTTCTGAGCATCCGCAAGGATGACATCCGAAGCCTTCTCAGAAATCATGTAGATGGAGATGACAGGGAAGGTACCGGGGATCTTGGGGAAAACAGAGGCATCAACAACACGGAGACTCTCGATTCCGCGGACCTTGAAGTTGGAGTCGAGGACAGCCATGTCGTCGTCATCAGCACCAATGGGGCACGTGCAAGAGGCGTGGTGGCCCCAGGCCTGGTACTTGGCGAACTCCTTCAACTCGTCATCGGTCTGGACAGATGGGCCGGGCCAGTCTTCCTCAAACTTGCCGTCAAGAGGGATAAGGCTCTTGAAGACATTGCGGCCGTACTTCATTCCCTCAATAACGGCCTGGAGGTCCTCGTCACCGCCGACAGCAAAGTTGCGCTTGCGGATCTCGGGTACGTCCTGGGGATTGGCGCTGCGCAGAGTGACGGTACCAGCGTTGTTGCGAGACTCGGCCTTGAGAGTGAGCCAAGTCCAATGGTCCTGGCCCTTGGTGGCGTTTTGGAAGAAATCTGGGTAGTAGCCGTTGAAGTAAGCAGGCCAGCCGGCAACGAGCAGATCAGCGTTGCCGTGGATCGAGTTGCTGGCCTTGAGGGTAATGGCCAAGGCGACACCGTTGGTGGCATAGACACCCTTTCCGATACCCAGAGGAAGTTTCTCCCACTTCTCAAGGCACCTGTCGTAGCCCTCGAGGAAAGTGCAACCGTTAAGGAGAGAGATCTTGGTTGGGGCCTGGCCAATGACGGGGACTTCGTAGCGATCCTGGAGGTTGGTACCTACACCTGGAAGATCCTTGACGACCTCGATTCCAAACTGCTCAAGCTCAGCCTTGGGCCCAACACCAGAAAGCTTCAAGATTTGGGGCGTGTTGAAGGCGCCAGCGGAGATGATGACCTCTCTGGTAGCAGTGACAGCCCCCTTGGTGCCCTGGCCAGTAGCACTTCCAGACTGGCGTCTAGGGTCTGCGCCGTAAAGGGACCTTCCAGTCAAAAAGTTGACGCCAGTAGCCTTGGGCTTGCCATCGGCCGTCTGGTTGAACCTGATGCTGGTGACAAGAGTGTTGAGCTGAATGTCGAGATGGTACTTGCGGCTGCCGTCGCTGTTCTTGGCCCCAATAACTTGATGGAGGAAGTCGACTGGTCCGGCACGCTTGTAGTCAGGAATGCTCATGGTTAGAGGAACCTGCCACATGCCCTCTTGCGAATCACGGCCGGGGCTGGGGTTGTTAATATCACGGAGCAGCACCTGAGCCATACCAGTAACCGTAGTCAAGAGCGCTGAAAGAAGGGACTTTCCCATGCCGGTAGCGGCAGCCAGGACGAGAGAGACAACCTTGAGATCTTGAACAATCAACGTCAAGTCGGTCAGTGAGGTCTCGAGCCAACCACTGAATCCGTGGCCAGCAATGCTGCTAGGCAGATAGCGAGACTTCTCGAGACGGGTAAAGAAACTACGCATCTTCTCTGGGGCCCAGGAATCATCGCCAGTGAGTTGTTGGATGTTCGTCCAATCACTGGTGTATGGGTAAATGGCAATAAGGGCATTGTGTCCAGTACAACCGCCCAGGGATC